TATCCTATACTTGTCACATTACTACCATGTTGCCATGCTTCAAGACATGGGAAATTCATGTTTCATTGATATGTTGCACTACTACCATTCACAAGCAATCTAGTACGAAACAAACAGAATATGCGAATGTTTCATATGTATGTTTCAGGGAAAATGACATGATGAGATAAATGATGCACATGTTTATGAGACGAAATGCAATTAGTAGAAGCCAAACACCGAGGGTGTTACAATTGGGACGGGGAAACTCGGGAGCAACTCAACAGCGAATTGGTGAGACGTGGTTGTGTGTCATGTGCTTGTGAATAAGAGGAGAGCGCCTTATGTAGCCTTACGGGAATAGGAAGAGACTGGTGTAGTGATTGATAAATGGTCATAAACACCATGTAAGTTACTAGTAACTGACAAATAAATTGTCCGTTACTAGTAACCCACTAATCAACCTAGTTGATAATGGCATGAAGACCATATTAGTTACTAGTAACAGACAAATCAATTATCCGTTACTAGTAACTCACTAATCAACCACTAACTCTCCTTCAAACATCCCCTAATGCCTATTAACATGTCATGAGTTTCACCTAGCATTAATCCTAGCCTTGAAATTTCTTTTGATTTAATCGCTAAATGTAATTGGTTAATTCCAATTTAATCCAACATTGATCTCTCTCATCCATCCATCTTTTCCTCTCTCCCTTGTCTCCCCCTCTCGCTTAATCCCTTATTTTTTCATGGTTCCACTCCCTCTCTCCATGATGCCTCCACCTCCTGCTCTTGCGTGCAGCGCCGCCTGCTACTCTTGCTTGCAATTTCATACCTACCATGTCTTACTGAGGCCATCCATTATGGTGCCCACAATGCTGCCTTTACAACCTAGTTGGTAGTCGGAGTTCGTCCGCCTCCCCAAATCCTTTTCTAAGCATTGGGAGCAGCTTCTCCCTAGTCCGGCTAGGAGTCAAGCTTGGAGTCCATCCACAACGGTGTGATGCATCTCCTCCACCAGAAACATCGCTAGGACGCCTCATAGGTACTGGGATCTGTAAGCAAGCGCATGAGGAGGCACTACGGTTGGCTTTGCCCCTACAAATGGCTTGGTGACTCCAATGGATCACCCAGTTACATGGTGCAATGGCTAGTTCAAACTTAGATATGCTTACTTCTATGCACCATATAATCCACTATTAACCTTAGTGGTTGAATATTTTGGTGTGACCATGAAAGCATCTAGGCCCCTAGTTGGTCTTGGTGATTAATGACGACATAAGATTATTGTGACTAACATGTATTTTGTAGAGGCAATTTGGGTTAGGTCACGATAATGGTGATTGTTTGGGCAATCAGTGGTTTTCATGCCCCTATCGATGGAAATCATTTTGGTTTTCAAAGGATGAACAACAAGGTTAAGGACGAACTAGTTCTAAGTGTCGTTTGTAGTTGAGAGACACTTAAAGTAGTTTAAGACTTTGTTTTTCCTTTGGTCGTACTATAAAGAGGGGGTATGAAATAGTAACTTAACTTAGGTGAGTCTAATGGTTTAGGGGTGGTGCACACTTGTCAAACTTAGCACTAGTTAGCTCAAGTTTAGCCCAAATATCAAGTGGAGTCAACCTCATTCATAAAGGACGTCAAATTGGAAGTGAATGGTGTGTTGAAAAACTAACTGGACGCAGGTATTGCTTTGACCGGACACGATCAAGCGGAGTCTGGCCAGTGCTATAGCCTACGCAATAGTGCTTCAACTGGACCAGACGCTGCCGCAGTTGGGGGATTGGACATGATGGTCCCACAGTAGCAGATGAATTATTGTCCGAACATGTTCGGTTAGGGTGGACCGGACACTGCGCTGGGTCTGGTCACTCTAACGGCTCTCTATCAGTGCTGGCATCATTTAGTCGTTGGTTACTGACTGGATGCGTCCGGTCACTTCATAATTTGCTGAGTTGGACCCCAACGGGTATGTTTGGAAAGGGGGTGTATAAATATATCTCCTACCCATTTAATTCACTGCTCTTACTCATTTGTTCAGCTGAGAAACACCTTTGGAGTTCAAGGGAGTGCAAGAGCCTAGTGGGGTGATTGAGATTTGATAATCCAAGATTAATGACCTCATTAGTGCATAGGGCGTTGTAAGTGTGCATCCACCTTCCTCATTAGTCTTGTCATGGTCAAGTGAGAGTTTGTGCTTGTTACTCTTGGTGATCGCCATCACCTAGATGGCTCGGTAGTGATTGAAAGCTTGGTGATCATCCGGTGGAGATTGTGGATGACCCAAGTCGTCTTGTGAGTGGTTGTGGGCGATTCACCGTAACGGAGTGTCGAAGAATTAGCCCGTAGAGAGCACTTGATACTTGTGCGGATCAAGGGGGAGCTACACCCTTGCGCAGGTGCTCCAACGAGGACTAGTGAGGAGTGATGACTCTCTAATATCATGGAAAATATCACCACATTCCTTCTCCTCTCTTTACTTTGAGCATTTACTTTTGAGCAATTCAATTCATGTCTTTATATTCTTAGAATTGCCATGCTAGAGTAGGATTGGAACCTATGGTGTAAAACTTTTGTGCAGTAGAACAATAAAGAACACTTTTAGGTACTAGAGGTAAAATGGGCTAAGTATACGATTTAATTATTGAAAGATTTTTTTTATTGAGCCTAATTCACCCTCTTCTGGACATCTTGATCCTTTCGGACCGTTTGAGGGACAATGTACATAGAGGCACCTTATGACCTGGTGCTCCTTACCGGAGCGTGACAAATATCATCTAGTGAGGTATATTCAAGGAATATTTTGATGTAACCATTTAAGGAATAGTGTACAAAGAGGCACCTTATGACTCGGTGCTCCTCGGTGACGCCCGACGGATCAACCAATGGTACTTTATTTAGTGGCCCTTTTCCAACCGTTGGATGCACACCCATAGTTAGCCACTGCATCTGGGTTATGATTTTTTCACCATGTGGTTATGACCTTTTAGTTTCAAGGTTTATTCCTAGTTTTAAAATAATTCTAGGTAAATTCTGAAATCATATTTAAACCAAGAAAAATATATAAGATCTAAGGAATTTTATGGGGATAATCCCTTAAATAGATTTAGATATGACGAATCCAAATAAAATATTTGGTTCTTAATAAAATATTATTAGATGCTTCAAAAAATATTTGGCTAAGATAAAATTAATTAAATTATAGAAAAAATAGAAAATTTCTGGAATATGGTACTCAAAATTCCTAGGAGAAGGTACTCATTGCTAATTGTGCTTTAAACCTTTTACATGCAGAAACACCAAATGCAACTAGCATGAGCAATACATCAAGCAAAAAGCCTATGTCAATCATAAAAGAGTGTGTGAGTTTAGCTCTCTACGAAGAACTAGTTTATTTTTCTGTCTTTTTTACGGTATCAACTAAATATATCATGACCGTTGGAGCTGCCCTATGAAGAGCGGTCGATTCACAGTTTCACACTGCCGCCGCCCGCCGCCACGGCCCACGTGGCGGCTGCAGTTTCCCGCCCGCTCGCACAAGGGCGCGAAATTTGCCCAGCTACTTCGCGCGCTCCCCCCCCCTGGCCTCCCCGCATCCCAGCAATTATACTATTCACAGTAAGCCGAAGTTCCTAGCCCTCCTCCCCTCCGCTTCCTTCTCTCCTCCTCACGGACGCCAGAGCTCCTTCCCCATTCCGGCGTTGCCAAGAAGTCGGCTCCCCCTCCGCTCGCCAGCCGCGTTTCTCCGTCATCCAAGGTCAGCACCTACGGCTTTTCACGCCCGCCCGCCGCCGCGGCGGGCGATGGCGACGGCCCTCTCTGGTCTGCGGGCCGTCGTAGATCTATGTTTATCTTTTTTGTTGGAAAAAAAATCTTTGTTTATCTTGGCATTTCCCTACCGAAAGTTACAGATCTGTTAGTCGATCTGGTCGAATGAGCCGTGGCTAGGACTGTTTCCGTTGCTATTGTTTTGGGGGGTGTGGTTGGTGGCACTGGCCACTGGGGATTTGGCGAAGCAATGCTCCTCTCGGGCAAAAGTGTTCGTTGCAGGTATTCAGTATTGCCACCCAGTTTCTCAAGGTGAATGCCACTGGGGGTTTCTTGACGAGTACAGGGATGCGACTTCTGTCCTCTTCCTTTATAATCCCTGCAGAGTTGATTCATACGAGCAAATGTGAAAAAATGCATTATTTAAAATGAAATATGCGTGCAAGATTGTCCATTTCTCTGTTCATTTTTTAATCCCTGTGCTGGGTAGCGGAAGTCTGGTCCTTGATGTATAGCAGTGTCTCGTGTCTTATTTCTAGTGTGGTTTATGGATCATTCCTGTACAACGCATACATACAATTGCTTGTCAGTAGAAGATCACATATGCACATTTATGTATTGTTTCTATGCTGTTTCGATAGTGTCACGTCTTTGTTTTCCTGTATCTTGAAGAATTCAAGGGCAAACTACCATATGATTCTTTGTCAACATCATTTTGCTTATTACATTAAGTTGATGTCCTTCTTTTTTTTACTGGAAAGTTTGATGCTCTCATTGGATATGCGCTTACGTTTTTGAGAGATGATATTCATCTCTGTTTCAAAAAGCAGTGCTAGGCGGCACCTAGGCGCTAGGCACTAGGCAGAGCATCATTGCTTCGCCTAGACTTAGTAGTTACGTTTAGGCATTTTTCACTTACAGTGGGTTAGGACTTATATGTGAAGGAAAATGGGACAAATGGAGATGGAAGAAGATGAATAATGGTCATTGAACTCAAGGACATGTGATAATGTCAAAGTCTTTCTTTTAATATATATGCCATATCTTCTGTGTTTAACATGGCTTACTCTTGCTTGGAAAAATATAACTGCCTAGGTGCTAGGCAGAGCCTGACCGTTTGCTCCTATCGCTTTTTGAAACATCCATATTCATGCGTCTATGGAGCATGCACCTGATCATAACACTTGATTTTCTGCATTTCTACAGGAAATATTTTTCAGTCTGTACCATTGCTTTCCAAAGCCACAATGCCTGCTTCTGCTCTCACAAATCTTAATTTTGGTTGTCCTAGAAGATCTACAAGGTTCAAGAATATTCACACAATTTATGATGAAGATTATGACAGGGATCCTTCTACTTTTAAGAGGATCAAAACTGAAGTCATTGATTCTGAACTAAGTGTTGGTTCTGTCAATGACAAGGATAGCGAACAAGATTGTCATGATGTATCCCTCAAGGATCTCAGAACTCAGTGTAAAGCTAAGAATCGGAAGACTTCAAAAATCACATTGGAAGGATGTGGCATTAAGAATCAGGCTAAAACAGAAGATGACATTGATCTTGATAAGCCTCTTATTGTATTGAAACAGAAGAGGCCAAAAGCATCTCCTGCTAAAGCAAATATAAAGATGGATGCACTAAGATCTCCATTTGCTGCGAAAGAGGAAGATACAACATCACAGAGAGATGAGATTCTTAGTTCTGCACAGAGCTCCCTGCTCAAAGCAACAATGCAAGACCCAGTATTAGAGAAGCTTGGAAGGCGAGTTGCAGAACTGGAGCAGTCTAAAGTTGTTATTGGTGAGTCACTAGCCTGTTCATACGAACTCCAGTTCTTATATCACTGTCTATTATCGTCTAGATGTGTTAGATGAATGTGTAGAGTTTTTTTTTCTTGTTTCTGCAGATACTTTTTCTTGAAATAAACATATCGTTTTTCAATTATGTGGCTAAATGTTTTTTTTTTCTGTACTGCACTTTCAGATTGTACTGAAGAAATAGTTGGGGAGCAAATGTGTTGTGCTGAAGTGAACAATACAGCTGGAGCTCTAGCGAGCTGTGCAAAACCTGATGTACTTTGTGAAATAAAAACTGAAGATACAAATTACTCTGAATTTGGAACTTCTATTTGTTCCATAAAGAATCCTGAGCATTCATCCTTTGAGCTGCAACAAAAGCTGATGGAGGTGATGACCGTGTGCCTCAATCTTGTTTCATGACCCAACCAGCTCAATTAGCCGATGTTTCTGATCATTCCTGCGAACAAACCTGCAGTTTCAAAGAAAACAATTTTGATGACATTACAGCTGCAAAGGCAACTGAGGTTGATTCTTCATTGGGTCTCATTGATGAAGTGAGCAATCATCAGAAAACATCTGAAAATATAACTAATTCAGATATGGATAAGTCTTCTACTGCAAATGGATTTATGGCTTGTTCTTTCAGTCAGTCCTGCCATGATCGTTTAGATAACGATGAGGACTGGAATTTATTTGTTCATGGGAATGAACCTGTAAAGATTTTGGCAGAGTTGTCTCCTATTGATGAGTCTAGCACAGATACTCATTCTGATTTATGTGGAAGCACAGAAATGAATTGCACTTCACTTGAGGGGTTTATGCGGGATGCAGGCTGAGGGACAATTGGATTCAATAGTCTGCTGTGGTGTAAGACCAAAGCATATGTTACTAGATATGGAAATTGGAGATACAGCCACTGGTACATTCACCTTTGACAAGAGTATTGACTTGGCTCATCCTGCCAATTTTGTTGCACAGGATGGAAGGCTAGAAAGTATAGTATATGATGTTTTGAATAATAATGCACAAAGGACGGCCTCTAAAAATAAATCTTCTGCTGGACTCCCAGATACTGCTGTGATTCAGAGCTCACTTATTGACTTCACTGACAACTGTCCTGAAGACAAAAAGGCTTCAGATGATAAAATTTCACCTCCCAATAATGTGGACTGGCCTTATAAGTTAAATTCTACAATAGACTATGACATTTGCAGATCTATTAATAATGATGAAGGATCAGAAGAAGAATTAGTGCCTCAACATCAGTTATACCAGTCGTGTAGTGATAAGTTCAACCTTAGCAGTGTCATGCCAGAGATCTCTAATGCTGAAGAATCAAAACAATTATTATCTGCTGGAGATCAAAATTCTTCTGCTACCTCTCTGGAAACTGATGGGCGAATTCAAAAGCCAGAAATTTTTGTGGATGAAGAATCAATTGAAGAACATGCTCCAAGAGTATTACTGTCCAAGAGAAAGGTCTGAACCATCCCTTCAACAATGTTCCATTGCATATGCATTAGCAAGATAGCCATACTAACATCTTTTGTTTTCCTCTTTTTTTCAGATTATGTCACCGACGTCTCAGGAGAAGCTTTGCAGTGCTCTGACTGGTATTGATTTGTGTGATGGAGTCCAAAGATCGAGTAAGCAATATATGCTGTCTGTTTCTAATATTTTTACAAGATCAATTATAATCATACTCTTTCTTGTTGCAGAGAGCAAAATCATTATTGAAGATCGTGGCAAAAGTACAATATCATTGCCTCAGCCAGCACACATGCAAGACAGATCAATGTTCCGCACAGACAGGAGACTTAAGGGCAGGACTTCTGTCTCCCCTACAAGCAAAGGAGTTCTGAAGTCAACAGGATCCCCACCCCATCAACAGACAACTTGTTCTTGCATGAGAAGTTCACCAGTGGTCTTAGACACTGAGAAAGCTGTTGAGTTTTCACAAAGGCAGATGCATGATATAGAAAATATAGCTGCAAAGCTTATCAGGAGCTTGAAGCACATGAAAAGTATAGTGGACGAAAGTTTGTCAACAGAAGCATATTCTTTACTTCCTAACTTTAACATTGCCGGGGTGAGACATGAAATGGAATATGCACTTCTCATTCTAAATTCTAGTAAAGTTGCTGCTCTCACAATAAATAGATAAGCACTTCTGTTTGTTGAAGTTACACCATGTTTCATAACTGCTACTCAAAATAATGTGATTCCAGTAACATGATAAGAGAGGTTAATTATTCTCAAGATTGTTATTTATATGATACTCCTTTAACCTTAAAGCCATGTACTACTTTTTTTTCCTCGAACATGCAGGAGAGCTGCACGTCATTTCATTAAAGACATAAAAGAACAATCCGATTACAATCTGATTACTCCTTTAACCTTGAAGCCATGTACTAGTTTGGTTGTCTTCATTTCTGTGTTGCCTTTTTAGTTGGCAATGTTTAACAATACCAGGCAATGCTTCTTTTGTCAGTGCTTAATTGATTACTACATCAGTTCCAAATTATAAGACGTTTTGGCTTTTCTAGATTCATAGCTTTTGCTATGCGCTTAGATATACACTATGTCTAGATGCATAGTAAAAGCAATGTATCTATAAAAGCTAAAACGTCTTATAATTTAGAACAGTGGGAATAGATGCTAAGATCAGTACATGCTAATATCCTTGTATAGAAAAAACACACGTTGACTTTGAGCCCAGTGTCGTTTTCCATGACTAAAATATTTGATTAATTTGTCTGTTTCTCATGCAAGTCAATTGTTGGCAGAAAAAGTTTTTGCTGGTCTTGTTTACATACTTGCACTCTTTTGTACCATAAGCATACCTGTTAGTGCAGGTGCAGATTTTGTCCTTAGATTAATTGTTGAAAGTGTTTCCTCTAGGAGACTAGGAATACTATATCCACCAATTAGGACAACTGCAATGAATTACCTCTAATACTGTTGGAACTGTTTGAGGTTAAATACCAGCTGACCATTAGATGTGGGTCTAAGCATGGATTCCAAATGCTCTGATTCAAATCTTTATTTCACTGAAAAACAAAGTACATAACACAGGATTTGAACAGTTATATGTTTTTTCTTCAATTTTAAATTTATTTCAGAAAACATCCAGTTTATGTTTAATTATGCAAAGCAAAGCAACGCGAATGATGTTTATATTTGATTAATGTGGTGCAATGTTTCTATGGACAGATCAGAGCAGCCTCTGAGGATGCATTAGAAGTGGAGAGGACTACGAAGAAATGGCTGTCGATAATGAACAAAGACTGCAGTCGCTTTTGTAAAATATTGGTTTGTATCTATCCACTTTGAAGATCGTACTATTTTTTTTAGTGAAGAAAATGACTCTGAACTGATATTTTCATCATGTCTGTATTAAAATTTCAATTGCAGAGCCTAGCAAAGAAGAGTGCTGTTTCTCATCCTGAAGCACCTAGGAAACAAAGAAAAATAATGTTTGCAGATGAAGCTGGAGGAATGCTCTGCCATGTTAAGGTTTTTAAGGATGGACAATCCTCTCTTCTTTCTGAATGCCAGAGTGATTTATAGAATACTAAGCTGGTTGTCATGAAACTTGATCAGAAAAGCAACCTTGTTGACAATAGAATAGAATCAAACAAGCCGCTCAGTTGAACCAAAATAATGAGAATGCTTCCATTCACTGTAGAAAACAGATTGAGAAGCTACTGCTGTGTTGAACGCACAGTTTGTATTTTACATTTTTCTGTAAATTGATTGACGACATTGTTGTGGCAACTCAGGTATTATCCTTGTATGTTGAGATCAAGAGTCCAAGTAAGGCGGCAAATTTTACAATGTTTGCTGAGGCCACAAGTGATCTTACTCCAGAATTAGCCTCTGTAATAAAATTTTTGGTATCCTGTTGCTCCAAAGTGCTTTATTCTAGGGAACTATTTAAGCTTGAGTAATAGGTAGCACTTAAATTCGTGGGCAGCGGCTGTTAATTCTATACGTATATGTGTACCTATCTTTTTTTAAAACATTAAAGATTGCAGATCAAAGGAAGCATAGTTTGGCCCAACCAAATAGCTCGTGGTTACTTGGAGCTCCTACGGTCCTCTAGATCGCGTGCTCGTATACGATCGTGGATTATAAGCCAGAACAGTATTTTTCTCTCACACTAAACCAGCTAACAGTAAATAATCCATGATCGTTTACGACGAAACGAACAGGCTGTCTAGAATTCAGAGTTTGTTGAAGCCACTTGGCTTAAAAGCCAAGCTATAGTCATGTTTTCGTGGGGTAGTGATCGGATGGGATAATTGTGGGAGGTCTCCCTCTTCCGTAGTGTACATCTGGATCTGAGTGAGATTAGTGGCAAACCGCCAACCCTTGAGTAGCTTACCACTATACTTGGCCATCAGTTTCCAGCTCGGCCGGCGGCCCGGCACAGGCAGCATCGCCAGAACACAGGCTGTGCACGGCCCGAGGATGTCGGGTTGGCACACGGACGCTGGCCTCCGTGCCGTGCAGCGGGCCTCTCGTGCCTTGCCATCAGCCCAAGCACGGGCCTGTGGGCCTAAATTCGTGCCGTGCCAGCCCGAGGCCCGGGGTTCAAAACACATCAAAAATTTCATCTCAACAAGAAGTATTCAAATTTGAAGTATTTTTTTCCTAGAAGAGCTTCAAACCAAAACCAAAACCATACACACAGAGAACAAGAGGAAATTAAAAGGATAATCGAGTGCAGTGCAATGTCATCATTAAAAACATTTACAGGTAAAACTCACCCTTGTGAGAAACCCCAGAAATGGAAAAAGAGTGCAGCACAGCTCTTATAAGTCTTAAACATGTTTAAAGGTTTACATGATACATCACAGATACAGATCATATTCTAAGTCTCAGGCTCTCAGCTCACCTCTCAAGTCTCCCACTCTCACTGTCTCAATCTCAACTCTCAACTTAAGAACCACCAGATGCAGAAGCCACAGATGTAGATGTGCTAGCAGAAGGAGCCTCAGAAGTAGATGCATCTTCATCAAGATAGAGATGCTCAAAGGAGTCTACCAGTTCTTGGTTGTCAACATCATGCTGCAGTCTTCTTTCACCCAGCTCCCAATCTTTTATGCAAGCAAGCATCTCCACATGTTCAGACAATAGTCGACGGCGCCGCTCCTCAAGTATTCTTCCTGTCAAGCTGAAACAAGATTCTGAAGACACTGTTGAAACAGGAACTGACATAATGTCTCTAGCCATGATAGAAAGCACTGGATATGTTAGCTTATGGTCACACCACCAGAAAAGTAGATCAAAGTCATCTTCATATGCAGTGACATTGTCACTGTCCAGATAAGCAGATAGCTCACAAGCAGCAGCAGAAGTAGATAAAGAAGGACTGGGAGCAGAGGCAGGGGAAGGTCCAACAACACCAGATGTTCCAGGGCCTCCAAAAATTCTTCCCCGTGCCTGCTTCCTCTTACCTGTGATGCTTGCAGTATGTGCAGCCCTCCTTTGAGACCTAGCTGCACCAAACTTTTCTTCATACTTGTTAAACAACTTGAAAAATTCAGTTTTCACAATACCATAATAAGAACCGTAGTCAAAACCAGTTTTTTGTTGCATTATGGTAAGAACATTAAATAAACCTCTCATTTTACCTCAAGAATTAAGAATGAATGCAAATGAATACAGCAGAGGTATGTCCTTCCAGTATTTTAGGTATTTAAGCTTCATAGGATAGACAATAGAAAAATAGATTCTGATCCTTTGAACTTTCATGCAAATGAGTTATAATATCTAGCAGATGGTGCAGAATAAGTGGACTAGTTGGATAGTAAACACCAGATAGAGTGACTGTGGAGTCATAAAAAACTTCCAGGAATTCAAGTATTTTATCAGCAATATACCAGTGACTTGCAGTTAACAACGTTGAGCCATAGTTGGAATTAATGAACACAGAAAAACATCCTTATATGGAAGCAGGTGTTAAGCATAAGATATGTAGCATTCCATCTAACATCCATATCCAAACCAAACTTTCTAGGTCTAACATCCTTAGCAATGCAAAAGTTCTTGAACAAAGCAATCCTTTGATTCAAAAAGTTAATAGCAGTTCTGAAATCCTCAGTGTAAGGTTTGAACCTTTTTAAGCCAGATTTTACTATCAGATTAATAATATGGCAAGCACAACGTTGATGCAAAAGATGATACTTAACCTTATTAGGATCTGAAGGTGTAGGTACAGGTTTAGAACCTAGATAACCAGCAAACATAGGTGTCAATGTTTCCATAGCCTTAGCATTGGAAGAAGCATTGTTAAGAGTAACAGAGAACACCTTGTCAAGCAAACCAAATTCTTCAATCACACAAGCAACTTTTTCTGCAATATTCTCACCAGTATGTTTTACCTCAATCAAGCGGAGACCAATTACCTTTTTCTGTAACTCCCAGTCAGCAGTCACATAATGAGCAACAACACTGATATAGTCTTCCTTTGCATTACCAGACCAAATGTCTGATGTCAGACTAACAGAAGAAGCACCAGACAACACATAGTTCTTAATTATATTACGTCGTTCATTAAAAAGTTTGCCAAGATCTCTAGTGGTGGTCTGTCTAGAGACCTTAACAAACCTAGAATTATGAGCTCTAACAATGTATTCTTCCCAAGCATCAGTCTCACCAATTCCTAAAGGTAGATCAAGCTTAGCAATCAAACGACATAATTTAGATATAGCAACTTCAGGTTTATAATCCCAGTTATAAACAGAACCATCAGGATTGTATGAAAGCCTAGATTGAACCCTAGCACGTTGATCAGTTTTAATCCTACATGATTTTTGGTGCCTTTTTAAGTGACCAGTGCCAGTAGCAGATTAGCAGACAAGGTAGATTTGCACATCTTACAAACAGCCTTGGTGCAAATTCTAGAACCATTAATAACCTTATAGATCTCCTCAAAATCAGTCCACACAGGCGATTTGCGCTTACTAGTGTTACCTGTACCAGCAACCGAAGGAGCAGAGCCGTTGGAGTTCGCAGTCGCTGTCGCCCCTTCGCCACCGTCCACGTCCACATTGATCGGAGCAGTAGAGCCGTCCTCAAGATCGATACCGAACAACGCAGCAGCATCGACTCGAGTGTCATCGTCGTTCTCGCCCTCTGGGGCCAGGCCAACCTGCAGGAGGCCATCCTCGTCGGCCATGGCCGCCTCTCCAGCCCCGTTCCTCGACGGTGCGGGTGGCCACCTTGCTCGCTCTAAGCCGCAGCTAGAAGACGATGCATCGACTACCGACCTGCGAAACAATGGAAGAAGAAGAAATCAGAAGCATACAAAGAAAAAGAAGAAATTAGAACATGGTTAAGGGTTAGGGTTTCACCTGCGCAACCGGAGCCCGGTGCCGGAGAAGACGACGAGCACCCAGAGTCTAGAGAAGACGACACAGTCAGCAACGACGGCGGACGGCGGAGGAGGGACAAACAGAGACAACCAACTCACATAATCAACGAGATCTAGAGGGGAGGGGATTAGGTAGGACTTAGTAGTAGGGAGTTGCTCATTGGTGGTAGGCGGGGTTAGGGTTAGGGTTACGGATGTACCTGCGCAACCAAAGCCTGGTGCCGGAGAAGACGAGGGCCACCCAGAGAAGACGACACACCGGTTAGAAGGACGGCGAGCGGCGGAAGAGGGGCAGACGGGACACGAAATCACATAGTCACCGAGATCTAGAGGGGAGATAGGGATAGGGAGAAGGGAGAGGCGGAGAGGGAGCAGGGAGGGGGTTAGGTAGGAGGAGTAGGGAGCTGCTCGCCGACGGCAGGCGGATCGTCGAGGTCTCCTCATCGGAGTCGGGGAGGACGAAGCCGAGAGCGAGACTGAGGCGAGGCGACAGGCGAGCGAGTGAAATGAGCTAGGGTTTTTGGATGTGAGCCGCCGCGATCGCGACATGAGTTTATATATGAGGAGTGGGGGGGGGGAGGCGGGGAGCCGGAGTTGGGCAGCATGGCCTGCTGGACCATGGGGAGGCCGGAGGGAGGAGTCGGTGGAGGAGTGAGGAGGGGAGGGGGGCCGGGGCATGCCACGCCGGCCTGGCTGACTTAGGCCGGGCCGTGCCGTGCTCGTGTCGGGCTAAAAAAGCGGGTTTCGTGCCGTGCCGTCGTGCCTCGGGCTGCATGGCCAAGTATACTTACCACTACCACATGTCCTTTCCTTCACTATCCCCTCTCCCAGTCTCCGCCGTTTAGCCCTTTGTGATGCATTGCAAAAGATACTGCAAAATTCATCTACCCTATGACATTAGTCTTTGAGCCCCCTTCTCTCTTCATGATCTTTTCAACAATTTTTTTTATATTTTTATTTTCTCTAAAAAGGTTATGAAACAAAATGTAGAAAATGTTTATGTTAAAAAGTTCTCTGAAACTTTTTTTTGGAGTGTTCCAAAATATTTTCTGAGAAAAATTGTAAAAGAGCAATAAACTTTTTTCTAGATGGTATATTTTTTTTCTCAATTCCAAGATGGTCTTGCCATTTAGTTTGCTTTCTTCCGCAACTACTTTTCCCAGGTGTCAGCTAGTTGATTAGGACAATCGTCATGAGATAGTTTCTATAGATAGACGCAGGTAGATAAAAAAATACTGCAACAAACAACATCCTCGGATTGCTAGTTTCTTTAAGTGGGCTCGCATTAAATTTTAATGTTTTTTTTCTCACACTCTCTCCCTCTTTCTCTCCCTATCCATTTCATCCTCTTCCCCCAACTTCTCCCTCTCCCGTCTATTTTACTTTTCTTAGGCCCTTTCAAATGTTGGATACTAATTATGAGTGTGAAATATAGACTAATTACAAAACTAATTGCATAAGTCATGACTAATTTCCGACATAAATCTATTAAGCATAATTAGTCTATGATTAACGAATATGATGCTATAGTAAACGCATGCTAATTATGGATTAATTAGTATTTATAAA